GTCTCTCACCCCAACCCCATATGCCATTTGAAGGAAGAAATGACTTCACAGCTGGGGACCCGGTCTCTTGTCCCCCAGAGATATCAGGAGGAAGGAATCAGTGGAGCTATGGCTGCTTTAAGTTTTCAGCACACAGTGGTCTGATGGGGTTAGATCTGTTTTCTTTATTGTAAAATGTGATTGATTCAATTCCAAATTTAGCTTAAGTTTGATTTTCTTCTCCCAACCTGGCATCTCCAAACTGAGAATCAATCAAACCCCAAATTATAGGCAGTGTGTGGATCAACAGTGCCGAGTTATCTCCAGTCAAATTTCTCAAGCAATGCGTTTTATGCCATTCTCTGTTGCCATGAGAGGAGTTGAGGGGTAAGAGGGAGGGGAAATGAAAGGGAAATTAGATTATTAACTTTCTCCGGTTCCAGCAATCAATACGCCCTGGTGTAATTCTATTCCTACAGCACAGCTCTCTCTCTCTCTCTTGCAAGTGACAGGGAGGGAGCTAGGACCCGGGATGTGATACAGGCATAACTGTGACCCTAGCCATCTGACGATGCTCATATTATGGTCGGGAGCTATCATTTATTGATCTGAGATATCATTTGTTGATTTTTTTTTTTTTTGGCCAATTGCATGTATTATCTTTTGTCCTCCAATCAGCTCTGAAAGAAGAGCACTCTTGCCATTTTTCAGGTGGGAATATTTTGTCTTATTAGGGTTAGATCAACTGGCAAGCATCCCATGGAGATGTTGTGGTTAAGCCAGAACTTGAACACAGCCTTGTCCAGCTTCAGAGGCCATGCTCCTTCTGCAACTACACGATGCCATTGTGGGACTTTGTTCTGGAATGAGGTGGAAGGTAATATGATATGGGGGAGAGGATGGAAAGAACTGGTTCTAATCTCTCCTCTGCCTCATACAAGTTGGGTGACCTTAGTCATTTGGTTGTTCTGTCCCTCTGTTCATATGTAAAATGGGGATAGTAGTAACAGTTCCTTAAGAATTAAATGAGGTAATTCTCCACTAAAATGTAAGCTTCAAGGACATTGGTTTTGTTCACTGTCATTTCCTCTTTTCCTAGAACAGTATGGAGAAAAAGGTGATGTTCAGTCAAAATTGGTTGAATGGATAGATGGATAGATGTGAGTGCTAGGCATAGTCCCTGGATCATAGTAAGCATTCTGCAAATGGAGGTTCTCTTCCCTATCTCTGCATCCTACAATGCAGTACAGAGCCTGGATGAGAAGGAGGTGGGTTTTTGGAGAGAGATATTTTCTCCCTTGCTGCTGTCTACAGCTTCTACTCAGAGCTAAATGCTGATGATCAGTTCCCTGGGCCAGGAACTCTTAAGTCACCTCTGTTTGAGTTCCACTGTGAAGTTTCTGCCAGATCTAGTTGCCATGGAAACTCCCCAAGCCCCATGGGCGGCTCCACAGGCATCTGGCCTAAGTGCAGACTTGACCTGCATGCTTTCTTCTTCCTGGACTTCAGAGACAACCATGGTGACTCAGGCATTCACTGAGTAAATGGCTACCCCAGGACACTGTTCATTCACATTCTCCCTTCCATTTCTTCCCTCTTCTTCTGACTCTCCCTTACTATCCACTCTTTTTGTCTTCAGTTCCTTAAAGAATAATTCAATTCCTAATACATTCTGATAATCTGTTGGACAAAGAAGTAAATGAGTCCTGGCTTCTGCCATCGATGATTAGATAAATCCTGATACTTGGCTTGGAAATGATCATTTATTTACCAAGGGCCTGCCATGTGCCAAAAACTGTGCTAGGCATTTGACATTTGCTGTCTCATTTAGCTCTTACCATGCTCTTAAAGGATGCGTTGTCTTATTCCTATTTTCCAGATGAGAAAACTGAGAGGCAATACACTAACGTGACGTCACTCCCTACCCCACTGACTCTTAATAGACTGTCGATGACTGTGAAGGTTTAAATGACATAGGACATAGGACAGCTAGGTCAGCGTGAGTCCAGGGAGATAGTGTGAGCAATCCCACGCCTGCCCCTCATGCCTCTTCTCCCAACCAGAAACCAACCCTGTGGAGCCTACATGGCGTTTCTTGTAGCTGGTTAGTGAAAGGGATGTCTTGGTCACATTCCATTTCTGCTGCTGTATGGGCCAAGTCTGAGAGATGCCTTCCCGGAACCCCAAAGGGTGCAAGTGTCCATTCAGGGCACCCGCCTCCCCAATGCCGGGAGCCTCTACCTTCCACATCTCACTCTCTGGGTCACCTTCCCAAGAATGTGTTCATGCTGGACTCATCCTTACATGTTCATCCCCTTAGAACAGACTCCTTAGAATCTTGAGTGGAAATTCAGCTCTGCTGCTGACCTCTATGTGGGGGTTTTGTTAAGTATCTAGGTGTGGGGTAATATGTTGACTTTTTAAGGAAAGACTTATACAAAGCAACAACTCCTAGTCCATACCCTTTCTAGGAGAAAACTTCGATGTTAGCTTGCTTATGTTATTTAGTTACTAAACTGTTTATATTTCAGAGTTTGAAACAGCTTTTTGTGGTTCCCAGAGGAGAAAGGAAATGTGTTCCCCATTTTTTGGTGGTCATTTTAGGCTTAGGGATTTCCAATCCACCTGACACCCGGACCAACTTTTTAAATTTTATTTGCTATTCCATTTAACAAATATTCAACAAATACAGCAACCACAAAGAGATGTATAGTCTCTACCATAAGCTATGCCTTGTCCTAGGACTAGCAATAAAGATCAGGATGCTATTCTTAAATTAAGGAATTTCTAGGTTCCAGGCAGTGAGCTTAGTTAGAAATGTAAAGATGGTGAAGATGGGATCCCTTCCTTCAAGAAGCTCACTGTTTGGGGATGCCTGGATAGCTCGGGTCATGATCCCAGGGTCCTGGAGTCGAGTCCCACATCAGGCTCCCTGCTCAGCAGGGAGCCTGTTTCTCCCTCTGCCTGCTCTGCCTGCCACTCCCCCTGCTTGTGCTCTCTCTCTCTGACAAATAAATAAATAAAATCTTAAAAAGTTCCCTATTTATTAAGAAAAAGAAATATCCATACAAAAAATCCAAAGTCAGCTGTCCATATAGGGTTCTTGCTCCATTGAGATCCACCAGCCTGGCAATGTTGCTTGTTTATGTTTGGCATGCTTTTTGACCGGTCAGCACCTGTGTCTGCTTACTGATATGTTACTCTCATCCCTGGAAGTTTGGATGCATTTGTTGAGATTCTACCATGTCCCAGACACTGTGCTAGGCATTGGGATACCATGGTAAGCAAAGGACATGGTGCCTGCCCTCAAGGAGTTTGCCATCTAGTTACTAGAATCTACTGTTTGAATAGGATATTTTGAGAGACACAACAAATGTGGGCTGTTTGTTTGCTTAGAGAGAGAGGAATCTACATTTGTGGTTAATCTCAATGAGTGATGAGGGACAAGGAAACAAGTGGATTTCTATGCAAAAGAAATAATGCCAATGATAACGTTAGCATGATGAAGTGTTGACTGGGGTGGCCCTGCGGTTAGGCAGCTCTTCCTGCCCCTGGGGCAGGGAGGGGAGACCACCAGGAGGCATGAGTGCAGAGACCCACCATGAAAGACCTCAGATGCCAGGCTGATGAGCGTGGATGGCATCCTGTGCCCAGATGCTATAAAACAGCTAGAGGGGTTCCAGCAGGGAATGGGATGGGAAGCTGTGCCCATACCTCGTTCATTTGACAAGCAAACAGACAATAGAAGAGATGAGGGGAGAGAGGTGAAAATGCTAAGGACACAGAAGAAACAGGACTGTCTAGCTGTGCAGATGCTATAAAGGAAGAAAACAGAAGCGTGAAGGACATCTAGGTGAATGGTGGTGTTTTCAGTAAGTTGGGGAGCCCAGGAGGAGGAGGTGGAGGGGGCAGCACAGGTTTAAAGAGAAGATAACGTGTCCAGTTTCAAACATGTTTATGCCACACCCTTGGGACTTCCATAGGGAGATGTCTGGCAGGTTTGGGCATAAAGATTTGCCCAAAAAAAGAGCCTCGTGGGTGATAGAAATTTGGGAGCCATTGCTCTAAAAATAGTAATCAAAACCTTGAAAGTTGATGTGAATAACAAGGGCTAAAGAATGAGACCCAGTGGGGGCTTAGGACACAGTCCGCAGGATTTCTTTGCTGGCCCAGTGCTCTGCTGGCCACACACATCCAATCTACTCATTCTACTGCATCCATTAAATTGTCTTTAATTTTCCCATGCAAAACTCCCCTCCCCATCCTGTGCCCTCTCTATCAGTTCTTAAGACAACTTGCCTTGGATTCTAACTAGCTGTGGATAAACCTGCCTTTGCCCCCTAGCCTGCAAGCTTCTGAAGATCCGAAGCTATTCTGTTTCTGCTCTATGTGTGTCTACATAGTAGGTGCTCAGTAAAAGCCTGTGAAATTAATTTGAACTGATAAGCTTCCACCATTCTGTGAAACCAAGTTAGATGACAGATGCTGTGTATACACTATGCCACGTAATCATCACAACAACCTGTAAGCTGTTTCTTACTATTCTCATCATACATGTACGAAAACTGAGGTTCACAGAACGAAACAGGTCACACAACCAATGAGGGCTAAAGCTCAAAGTTGAACCCACGGTGGTCAAACTCCAAAGCCCATGCTCATTCCTCTAGGCTCAATGAATTCAACACTTCTCACTTCTTCCTACTTGCTTCTAAAGCCAGTAGAGAGTTTAATGTCATCTAAATAATTACCAAAAATGACCAGGAGGGAGAATTTCCACAGTTTTCATGAAGCTTGTTTCTTTCATCTATACGAAGGGTGTAATAAGCCCATTTTCTAGAGAGTTAAGTTGAGACCCAACAAGGGCTGCTGAGATGTCATGGCAAGCACAGAAGTTGGAAAATACGGTTTCTTTTCCCAGCTTCCCATTTGGAAAAGAGCAGGATTCCCAAATTCCATGCTATCCCTATTTTCTCACCTCATGGACTTAATGTATCTTTGTGTGTATTTTTGTTATTAGGTTTGCTAAAAAGCCCAGTGAACAAGACAGCCTTGACGCTGATTGCTGTGAGCTCCTGTATCCTGGCCATGGTGTGTGGCAGTCAGATGTCCTGTCCACTCACCGTGAAGGTGACTCTGCATGTGCCTGAGCACTTCATTGCAGACGGTAAGAAGCAAGCATAAAAGATGCCCCATACCTGCTCATCACCTTACACCCCTATCTGGTCAAATGTCCTCCATGCATTGCCCAACTTCACAATTAGATTACAAAAAAAAAAAAAAAGGAAAAAGAAAAAGAAAGAAAGAAAAAAAGGGAGCATCCAAATTCAAAGGCCTTGAAAAGACTCTTATGATTTGGAATCCTGGATTATTTGAATGGAACTACAGACTGCTTTTTGCCATGGGCAAGGATAAGATTTGTTAAATAAAGGAAGAATTCAAATGTGAGTGCAGTAAGATTGAGCTACTTCAGACAACCTGCTGTTTCTATTATGCTTCTGAATCCTATTCCTAATTAAAAATATCCCCCCAAAATACTATTTGCTAATTAAAAAATATGACAGACAAGATCATATGAGCTTTGTTGGAATTTCCTGAATATCCTGGAGAATACTCACATCTCATTCCCTGTAAATGTACTATAAGTACATGTAAGTGTGCTATATCCTACTCTTCACCCAATTAATTTGAATTAATGAGACACTGTAGTCACTATAATCACTTGCAAAGCATGGCCCAAGAAACTGATTAAGGTGCTTGAGATCTATTGTTAAAGTGCCCTCCAGAAAGTTGTTCCACTTTACATACTCCAGCAGGATGTGATGCCACCTATTTCCTCAAATGCTTGTCCAAGTGCTTGGCATTCCTATTTTTACGTGTATTGAAGGTTATCAGAAATACAATGAAGAAGACATATTAAGTATGCAGCTTAATGAATTTTTATGTAAGCATCCACCCAGATTAAACCATACAGCATTCCCAGCACCTTTCAGCTTCCTTATGCTCCCTCCCCATTAATGCCATCCCAGAGGTAACCACTCATCGGACTTCTGGCACCATATTAGCACCATTATTTGTTTAAAACTTTTTCCAATTGGATATATATTGAATGTTTTTTGAGGTCCCTGCTCAATATTTGTCAACTCACCTCAATGTAACTCACTTTTATCTTTATTTTTAATTTTTTATTATGTTATGTTAGTCACCATACAGTACATCATTAGTTTTTGATGTAGTGTTCCATGATTCATTGTTTGCATATAACACCCAGTGCTCCATGCAATACATGCCCTCCTTAAT